AATAAGAACCATCACCTGGCTTTCCTCAGGTGTTTTTATTTTTTATTCTCTTGTGCTGTGTGGGAATTGTGTGTATTAAAGTCGCTGACAGGTCAGAGGTGCACTGAGACAATTCCCAGTGTGGAATGCCAGTGGAAGTGGCAATTCCATTCTCCTCTCCCATTCCATAGGACATGGGAATTGAACTGCTTCTCTGTGAAGGGTGCTACTCCTTGTCTCAGCTGTGGTATTCCCTGGTGGGTGGGGGCAGGACCCACGTTTCCTGTGCTGTCACCCCACACCTGCCTGTGCCTCGTTGCAGGTACATGAGCAGACCCGTGATGAGCGGCCCGGGGCTCTATGATCCTACGACCATCATGAATGCAGACATTTTAGCCTATTGCCAGAAAGAAGGATGGTGCAAATTAGCATTCTACCTTCTATCTTTTTTTTACTACCTATATGGGTAAGTTTTCTTCTTCAGTCTCAAGTTTTGGCTCAGTGCAGAGAAAAATACTGTCCATAGGAATATGTTCCTTCCCGTGCTGGAAGGGAGCCTGTGAGAGCTGGACAGGGATTTTGGACAAGGATGTGTAGTGAGAGGACACAGGGAATGGCTTATCACTGCCAGAGGGCAAGGTTAGTTGGGATACTGGGAAAGAATTGTTCCCTGTGAGGGTGGGGAGGCACAGGATGCCCAGGGGAGCTGTGGCTACTCTATCCCTGGAAGTGTTCCAGGCCAGGGTGGAGGGGACCTGGAGCAACCTGGCCTTAGCCAAAGGTGTCCCAGCCCATTGCAGGGGTTGGAATGAGATGACCTGTAAGGACCTTCCAACTCAAAACATTCTGGGAATCTGTACGACCATGTACAGTGCCAACTTCCTGAGAAAGAATCCACATTCACCACTGATTCTACTTTAAAACACAAATCCTAACTTGGTCAGAATTACTATTTTGAATCTCTGTTCCATGACTGAAAACTGAAAAACTCCGAACTTTTCTTCCGTTAAGAAGAAAATACAATACAATATACATAATACAATAAATCCCAGGGGATTTTAATTAAGAAGCTGAAGCATTGTTTTCAGAGGAGAGTATTTGATGTAAATGTGATTTTGTTGAAGTCAAAAGTAGAAGAGTCATTGTGTCAAATCTTCAGTCAGAATCCACGCATCTCACATGGACTTGCTCCTTATAATATACACTGTTATAATTAAATGTGTAACACTAATCAAAATGATGCATCTTAATATTTTTGTTTTCTTTTGCAGCATGATTTATGTTCTGGTGAGCTCTTAAGAAGACATTCAGCAAGCTTTGTTCCAGTTAAGTGCATGCAAAAGCCACGAAAAACATGGATTCTTTACAACAAGAACCTCTGACCAAGATTAAATCCGGAACCTGATGTTCACAATTGAGTTAGAAAACAATGACTCCCCTATTTTTAAAATATTTCCACATTTTATACTTGTGGAAAGACTGTTTTCTTATATTTTACTGGGACGCTGAAATTAATGAATTATGTGTAAATTAATATAAAGATGACTGGGGTTTGAAAAGTTTTGACTTTGCACTCCATAAGGAACAGCCATAACCTTTGAGTAGGTGTTGGTTACTACTAGCCTTAGTACTCTAGGGATTCGCTGTAGGATGGGCTTTGTAGTGGCTCACTTGGACTTGTGTATCCCACTCTTTAAATCAGCCCTAGCTCCAGGTGCTTGGGAACAACTGGAATGCTGTGTTTTGCCCATAGGTGATGTTGGTCTTAGGATATTCATGGACACAAATGCAAAAATAGTTTTATTTTGGTTTATTTTTTTATTATTATCTGGTTAATCTTTCCCTGTATGTGCATCCATAGCTCCAGAGCCTTCTGTATTGTCTCTGAACATTAAGCCTGCTTTGATCTCAAGCCTGTGTCATTGTGGTAGGAGAAGCTGAATTGTCCATGAAGGAATGAATTTAAATGTGTGGTTTTTTTTAATGTCTGTGTTGTCTAATTAACAAATAGACAAACCTCCAATATTTATCAAGTCCAATGATGAAAACACTCTTGGGTTTAAGAATAGTAAATACTACAGACTTTTCCAAAGCAGAAAGTGAGATTGTGAAACTGCCCCGCTGTTCCTTAGTGCAATAAATGATAATAAAAAACAGATCTCAAATTCAGCAACACTTCTTTTTATGTGGTGCCTTTTGTTTTGTTTTTAAATTCAACAGATCCTCACTGTGTTCATCAGGTGTTTTATAGTGGATAATTACATTCCCTATAAAAATAGAACATGGAATTGAATTACCTCTGGAAAAGGGAAGCTCTGATTTCCTGCTTTTTTTTTCCCTGAAGTTAAATAGCAGATGGGGCAGGGGAAGATGTTTCAGATAAATATTGCATTGTAAATTGTGACTGTGAACAGCTGCTTTAATTTACAAGTAATAATTAGGGATATTTTCCATTTACCTGTTCTGGAGAACAACACAGTTTCCCCATTCTAGTAAAACTTTTTTTTCTGCATAAACTGTGTATTTTGTTCACTTTGGGTCTCTTGGGTGTTAGGGACAATTAAAGTTGTATGAATGGCTGCACTGGGTTCCACCAGAAATCCAAATATTCCAGCACTGGTGTGTATTGGGCAGTGGCACTGGCTGAGGAAAGGAATGTGAAGCAGGGCAGGTGTTGAGTACCTGCCTGAAGAGTGAGAAATTTGTGTGTTACAGATGTCCTGAGTGGGCTTTGGCATTTTAAAAAGCTCTGAATGGCTTTTCTGCCATCAGTTCAGTTGCTTTTTGAGCACTTTTGTAGCCTGGTCTGGAAGATTACAGAATCCCAGAGCAGTTTGTGTTGGAAGGGACATTAAATTAAATCCCATCCCATTCCACCCCCTGCCATGGGCAGGGACACCTCCCTGTATCCCAGGTTGCTCCAGGCCCTGTCCAACCTGGACTCTTCCAGGGACGGGGCAGCCACAGCTTCTCTGGGCAATCCTGACTGAGTTCTGCAATGGAATTGCTGTGTGTGAAAAACAGGTATTGAACAGTTCTGCCAGATTTCACTTAGTGACCCTACACTCTTTATTTTTTAGGACATGGTGGAAATGTTCCCCTTTCCACCTTATTTGTTCTGGATATGAATGAACAGACTTTACTCATGTCATCTGTCAAAGAGGCTAAGTCTGTTTGATATCTGGTTGGAAGTCCTTCCACAGATTTGAGACTCTTCTTTTTCCTCCAAAACTTTCCCCTTTTCTAGGCTATCATCACACAAAGTTTGGGTTCCCAGGGGATGGAGAGTGGTAGTTCCTAGTTTTTCTAAATATACTGAGGGTAAGAGAATTCAGGATGTGATAACTTCAAATTCTCTTTCCTCAGTTATAGTAGTTCTGACAGCTTACTGCTTTGTACATAAAATTGTTTTTCTCACATTTCCTTGCATTTATTGAGCATTTCCCATGCCCCTACTGCTCAAGCCTTCAACATTCCACGATTATTTTTTTCCTCATGCAACCATAATTTTTAGCTTTTCACAGAAGAATTTTTGAAAGGCTTTTTTGGAAACTCACGAATATTGTTCCTATTGGATCATTTTTATTTTTCTGCTGCTTGGCTCTTCCAGAGATGTAAGAGATGAGAGTGGAAGCAAAGCTCATGAAACCTTTCTTATGTTTGTATATTTATTAATCCATTATGGAAACAAGACTGCCTGCTTGTAGCCCCTGGCTCTCCTCAACCTTCTAAACAAATCTCTCGTTCCCTTGGCATTTGGGCTGGTTTGAGCCAAATTCCACACTGGAATAAACAATGCAGGCCTGACTGAGCCCAACTGACAGCTGCTCCTGCAGCCCCTCCAGCTGCAAGGGCTTTGCCCAGCAATATTTACCAAAGTGTTTGCAGTGTCCCGCTGATGAGCAGCTTTAACTGGATGTGGGGTGCACAGCTGGATGATGGGTGTTCCCAGCTGCCAGGGGCCAGGATAACACCATCCCTGTCCAGCAATGCCAGCCTCGTGTCCCAAGAGTGTTGGGGTAGCCCTTGGGTGATGCCTTGCTGGAGTACCAAGCCTTTTGCATTCAAAATATGGACTTGATTGCTGTGTTTGGAGTTCCATGAGGCAAAAGATTATGGAGAAAATAAAGAGCATTTCTCTCATCCCCAGCAAGCTTCCTGCTGAGTAATGTGATAAATATTTAATATCTGAAAACCATTCGCTGCAAGGATTAAATACTGAAGTGCATTTGAGGCAGGGTATTTGCTGTAAATGATTCTACACTGTGGAAACTGGAAAAGTTCCCGTTGTTTACCATAAGAGTGGGGAAGGAAATGGCAGTAAACACTAATTAATCTGCAGAAATCACCTTTGTGTTCAAAGTTCAAATGTTCAAAGATAAAGTCTGAAGCTCACAAGGCAGGGATTTGTTCAACTCCAGCCCCCTGGTGCTGTGTGTGGCCTTGTCCCAACCTTTGACTTGAGAAGGTCCAGAACTTTATCAAAATCCTGAACTGAGCAAAAGCCAGGAGCTGTTTCAGCTTGCTTTTATGAATGGATATAGTGAAACAGGAGGGCTGGGGACTGTCAGAGGACTGTTCCTGTGAGATCCTCCCAGCCCACAGCTGATTGTTTGTTTACTCTCAGTGGTGGCAGCAGGCAGAAGGGCTGTGCCAGCTCACCCACGCAGCTGCAGCACTGTCTTCCTGCCACAGTCACCTACAACCCCCCTGCTGGGTTTATCACAGATTTTTGGTACAACAACTCCTGCTTTTGGAATGAGGAGACTCCTTCCCAAATACCCCTCAACACACTGAGCAGAACCCTGACAGTTTAGAATGAATTGTTACGAGCTTGTAAGGGCGGAGTGCTCCAGCTTGACTTGACTTTGCTTTACAGCAGAGCTGATGGTATGAGGGTGTTTTTAAACAGCTCCAGAGATGGAATTTCTATCCAGCTCCATTATCCCAACAGAACAGCAATGGACACAAACACACTTGTATATGCGTTTTTTCAGGCAGTGAGTATTAAAGTCACCAAAGAGAGGAAGATGCCACATATTCTCTAGGATTTTCTCCCCCATCCCAATACTTTACACACGGATTTGGAAGGCAGCAGCTGTGTCACACAGGCAGTAGCACTGAGGAAAGGTCAGCAGAAGAGTCTTGTCCAGGAGTTTTCCACACAGACACAAAGATGCCCGTGGCAGGATCAGCTACCGCGATGCCGATCTCAGCACGGGCTCCTTTGCTGCCAGGTGTGCAGCCAGGTTCTCCCGGAAGTCATGGAGGAAATTGTACTGCTGGAAATGCACAACCAGGCCTGCAGTGAGTGCTCTGTGCTTTCAGAGGCACCACCTGTCTTAAAAAGCTGTTTGATACCCCTGGATGAAAGCTGCACCCTCTGGCCCGTTTGTTCTTTGTGTGCTTACTCTACATCCTCTGGGATTTTTCACTGTCAGACACAGATTCCATGGATCTTCACTTGGATCCCGTGGTTCCCCATAATGGCCACAGGTGATGCATTACCCCAGGGTAATACAAAACATGGTCCTCAGAGGTGGGACTGTCAGAATTCAAAGCTGCTTTGTTTGGAATCATGGAATCATTTAGGTTGGAAAATCTCTCTAAGGTCTTTGAGTCCAACCATTCCCCTGGCACTCTAAGGCCACCACTACCCCATGTCCCCACTTGCATCCACAGGGCTTTAAATCCCTCCAGGGATGGGGACTCCACCACTGCCATGGGCAGCTGTGCCAGGGCTGGACAACCCTTTCAGTAAAGAAATTTTCCCTATTATCCAGCTTAAACCTTTCCTGGCACAACTTGAGGCCTTTTCCTCTTGTCCAGTCACCAGTTTCATGGGAGAAGCTGTTTCTTGAAAGCAGGAAACAGCTCAAACCCCAGAGAGCAGCTGTTGGAAAGACAGAGGTATCTCTCTGGGAAGGGAAGGAGGGGACTTGTTGCTTTCTGTGTCAGCCTTCTGATTGTTGATAGATTCTTTGTGCAGTTTCTCACACTCTTTCTTGTAAGTAATAATTGTTTTACATTCCTTTTTGGAGGAAGAAAGAATTCATGAACTGAACCTATGGGGTCAGGAGGAATTATCCTCACTGTACAATCCATGGTCACTGTTAGAATTCTATAAAGAAACATAAAATGTAAATAAAGAGTTCTTTTCCTACATAATTCATCGGAGTCAAGAGTGTAAATCTCTCTCTGTCTGTGTCATAACGACAACAGGGACTGGCTGAGCTCTTGCTGGTGTTTGGACCTGTGTTTTACCTGCTGCAGCCCCATTACCTTGATGGTCTGTATGGCCCCCGATCCTCTCAGGTTCCTGAGGCTCTCTATCACCTGCTGAGGTGCCAGGGTGTCTGAAAGCTGGAGCAGGAGACAGGCAGCCACTGTAAGGGAAAGGGTTTACATCTGAATGCTCTTGTGACTGCACATGGGACTGATTTGCCCCATGAAAACCACCCTGGCAAAACTATCTGGGTCCCAGAGCTCTTGGATCTCTTGCAGAATCCTATTGCTGGGCATTGGCCCATCTGCCTGCTGCTCCTGCCTAAGCCTATGGGTTTGGAAATAGGTGAAAACCCTCTCACTATTTTTCTCCTGTCATCCCAGCAGCATCTGAGATGCAATTCCTAGGCTTTTCAGGAATGAGTTCCAGTACACCCAGTTAATCCCCCTTTGTGTGTTCTGGCCATATCACCACCCCTTCCTTCTGGGAACACACAATAACTAACACTCCTGAAAGCTTCAAGGGGCAACGCTGTGATGAAGACAGATGCAGAAAATTGGTTCATGTTCTTTCTATTAACCAGGCTGCTCCTGGTAGTGGCAGTCTGGATTGCATCCACAGAGAAGCTTCCAGCAGAATTTGGCTCCATGGGTTTGTGGGATGGGTTAGTCAGGCATGGAGACAAATACTTACCAAGACATGAGCGTCCGAGGCCACCATAACAGCTGGGAGAAAAGAAAACATCTGGTTGTAATGAGATGTAGCAAACTGCAGCACCAAGAAACCCCCCAACAAGTAAATATGTGGGCACAGTTCTTGCCTTAATATAATCAAGAGGAGCAGTGGTACAGGAAAGTCAGAACAGGGATTTCACCATATTTTCAATATTCTATTTCTATACCTAAAGGGATATATCCTATTTATTCTCCAGACCTTCTGTGTCTTTCCATGGAAACTTCAATTTTAAAGTTCCCCTTCATTCCTGGTAATAGTCCCAAAGGCACAGAAGGACAGGAAACAGCAGGGGGATAGACAATCTCAAATTTCTTTAAATCCTAATCCAGATCAAGGATTTGAGGACGATTGAGAGGAGAGCAGCAGGATTCTGTGTTAGCAGGAGGACCAAGGACTCAGTGGATGTCTGTCAGTGGGATCATTCAGGGAACACAGGATTTGGAAAGCTCTTCCCCTCTCTTCTGAGCTCAGCTAAATAAATTCCATTAATGGAAATTAGGAGTGAATTCTGCACTGCTGGAACCCATTGAATCCCTGATGAATAGTCCAGGGGCATGTTATGGAATCAGAGTGGTTTGGGTTGGAAAGGACCTTAGAGTCACTTCATTCCAGCCCCTGCCATGGGCAGGGACACCTTCCACTGGATCAGGTTGCTCCAAGCTCCATCCAGCCTGGCCTGGGGCAGTCACAACCTCTGACAAAGAAGTGTTTTAGCTCCCAACTCATTCTGTACACCTGACATCCAGGTAGGCTGGGAGCAAGGAGCCTTGTGGTGCCACTCAAAACACACTTTAAAAGTCTTGCTGGACAGAGCAAGGTGAAATGGGATATTCCAATCTTGAAATGGGACATTCTGATCTTCTGGAAGGAAGAATTCTCTCCGAACAGCTGCAGGAGAAGGAACAAGCAGATTTCACAGCATGAACTAACCCTAAAGAATGTAACTGCCTTTTAACACCATCCTATTTCCCCTGCTCATACATCTGGAGAGAAGCTGGCATCCTTTACAGGAATGTGGGGTTATGAAGAGGCAGCCAGAACCTACTGTATAATTGTTTTCTGCTTATTTTCCAGGCAGGTTCTGAGCTCTTCCAGGATCTTGCAGCAGGTGGCAATGTCAGGAGCATTCCCATCAGGAATGGGGTAGTGGTGCACACACATCCCGTGCTCTTGGTAGCTGTCAATCAGGTTTGGAACTCGGTATTTTGAGAGCTCTCCTCTGGTACAAAGCACAAAGATATCCTGGATCCCACAGCTCTTTAGTTCTCCTGCCAACGGATTAAGACACTTGCAAATAAACAAAAGCCTATCAAGCTTAAGGATAAACAGATAAGCACCTTGGTCCTGAGTCTCTTGTTTAATCTTTGGGGCTAAGACAATAGGAGTGAGCAATTTTGGTTTGAACACTCTTTCCTTCCGCTGAGTCTCTCCCACATTTCCCTTCAGGTAATCTAAGAGAGGAATTTTCTCAGTTCAGAGGGAATCCTGAGAGAAGTCTCACTAGAGAACACATCAGGACAGCCTGTTATGCATTTAAATATGTTTCTGTCCCATCTCCAGTCAGAATCACAGAATCCCAGGATGGTTTGGGTTGCAAGGGACCTTAAAGCCCATCTTGTTCCACCCCCTGCCATGGGCAGGGACACCCTCCCCTATCCCAGGCTGCTCCAAGCCCTGTCCAAGCTGGCCTGGAACACTTCCACGGATCCAGGGGCAGCCACAGCTCCTCTGTGCCAGGGCCTGACCACCCTCACAGCCAGGAGTTCCTTCCCAAGCTTGACTTACCCAAACACTGTGGGGATTTGCTATTAGTCTCTGCTCTTTAGTGCTTACAGCTGAATACTCAGCACAAATCTTTACCTATTTCCATCTTTTCTATCCCCATTTCACTTTTCTCTGGGAAAAAAGAAGATTACAAGTTTGTAATTCATCTTGATCCCAGCTGCTCTGAAGATGCCTCATGGGTACTCTGCAAGTCCTGCCTGGAAATATCCTGACTATTTATTCCATAGTCATGGAATATTCATGGAATTGCCCTTGACTCACCTATATCTTTCTGAAGATTTCTTCTGATATCCTTAAACCTGCAACCTGAAACAAGTTATGAACAAGAATTACCATTCCAGGTAAGTGACATTTATGGGATGGCAGCTGCAGCAGAAGAACAGAACACAGGAAGCCTCCCCCTAAAAATCAAAGCCACACTCTGAATAAAACACAGTGCCTGTATTTGCCTGTTTTTGCAAATAGATCCCTGGTGCAGAAGACAGCTTAAACACCATTATCTGCTTAATACTGCAATGTAATAGGATTAAAGAAAGAAATCTGCCCAAGGCTTTAAGGTGCTTTGTGTTTTCCAGGGGAAAAGTTTTGGATATTTTAAATCAGGATACAGGATAAAATCTCCCCACAAAACACAAAAAATCATCTAAAAAATAAAAGGGCTGAGTAAAGATCACTTAAGAGTTGAATGGAGATTCACCATGGCTGCAGTTTTGGTAGTTAGAAGTCACAGTTTATGTTTACTTTTATGACTTTAAAAAAAGTGATCTGGCATTAAGAGATTCTCTGGATTAGCTTTGGTGTTTCCAAAACACTTATTCCAGGGGTAGATTACAAAAGGAGTCACCCACAACACAGAATTTTGGGGTAGAAGGTATTATTACCCTTCTTCAGCTTTCAAATATGCCTGCAAATTTCAGTGAATGCTTTACCTGGAAGGGAACATAATCCCAGGAACTCTGAAGAGTAGAGAGGAGACAAAGACAACCTATCAGAAAATAAAAATAAATAAAAATCAGAAGGAAAGATTTCAATTTTTTAAATGTATAAGTATCTTTAGAGGGTGTGTCAAGAGGGTAGGGCCAGACCCTTTCACCAGTATCTGGTGGGAGGATGAGAAGCAACAGGCACAAAATGAAACATGGGAAGTGAATGAGAGGAAAAATGTTACTTTGAGGGTGACAAAAGGTTTGGGTTGGAGAGGACCTTAAAGATCATTTTGTTCCTGTCTTGGGCAGGGGGGTTGGACGAGCTGGTCTCCAGAGGCCCCTTCCACCCCCAGCCACATCCACTGACAGCTCCCCAGCCCGGACGGTCACCAGAGCCCGGCTCGGGTTTCCCTTGCGAAGAGAAAACCCTCTTGTTTCTCAGGATAGGGATTGAATTCAACTTCCTCACGGAAAGGATCCCGCGGGTGTCGCCTCACCAGGAGATGTGGAGCGGGGTCGAGTCCTCCTCGGCGGCCTCATCGTCTGAGGAGGCGAAGCCGTCGGCTGGCGCCGCAGCGAGCTGCGGGGAGAGCGGGGAGCTCATCATGGGGCCGGGACCCTCGGTGCCATGGGGGTCGGGGTCCGGGTCCCGATCTCGATCCCGTTCCCGGTCCCGATCCCTCAGCGGTTTCACCATGGCGCCGCTCGCCGCCGCCGCCCGTTCAAATTGGCCCCGCCCACTGCCCTATCCCCCAATGGGAAGCTGCGGCTCAGAGAGTGCGTGGAATGCCAAGCAGACCATCCCCTGGATTCATGAGAGGAGCGCTCTGATTGGTGAGCAGCGAGAGGGGCGGGCTTTAATATGCAAATATCTGTGGTGATCGCTGCGCTGATTGGGTAATCACGAGGAGGGGAAGGGGCGGGCTCGAGCGCCGGGGGCGGGGCTCCGTGAGGGCTCCGGGGTGGATTCCCCTCCCCTAATTCCATTTTAGATCCCTTTTCGGGGTGTGTTCATAACCATTCCTATTCCTGGTAGCCCCGGTGGTTCTTGAAAGTGACAGGGCAAGGGGGAATGAATTCACGAAGATATATGGCAGGGCTAGATAGGATATTGGCAAGAGAACTCTTCCCTGTGAGGGTGGTGAGGCCCTGGCACAGGGTGCCCAGAGGATCCATGGCTGCCCCATTCCTGGCAATGTTCTAAGATCGGCTCGGACAGGGCTTGGAGCAGCCTGGTCTAGTGGAAGGTGCCTGCTGATGGCAGAGGGTGGAACTAGATTGGCTTTAAATTCCGTTTAAACCCAAAATATTCCGTGATTCCATGATAAAACATGGAGATGGATGTGAGCCTTCGCTCAGACTATGCAAGAGCAGGGATGATCTTGAGCGGGTGCCCTGTGGAGATTTTGGCTGGTCAGTTCTATGTGCAGACCATAGGATTTCCTAGCAGCAGAAAATGAGCCATTTCTACTCTTTTAAGCCACGAAGTTGAAGTCAAATATTCTTGTCATGGTACTGCTTTCAATCGTGCTGTAAAAATAGTTTTTTACGTGGAGTTTTTATCTGAACATAACTAGCATGAAGGATCCCTCCAGGGAGGAAAAAATAATTTTGGTTCCCTCTTTTTAAGAGCTGGGCTGTTGCCTGTGCTTAGGGCATTCCAGGAGATCTCTTTTTGCAGAATTTCTGGTTTATTCTGTAAGTAACTCTGGCCATTAATCAAGAAGAAGAAATACATACATTAACAACGTGGGATTTTGGTTTTTAAAATTGTATTAAAGCGTTTCTACAGCCCGTGTTTAGACACACACATAGAGCTACGTTGTGAAGGATCCAGGCACAAACAGCAAGTTTTGGCATCAGTTTAGAGAATAATTCCATAGAGGCGTCCAAAAATGTTCCAGGTCAAAGGAATGGCTGGACACAAGTGGTTTGGTGGGATTCCCAGTAGGACCAGTGCAAGATCTCCAGGTGTGGAGATTTTAAATTTTAGTCCTACATTAGTAACTTTGGTTTCACAGCTGGAAGTTTTATTGAAACCTGCCTGAGAAGGATTGTAGGAGCAAATTGCTTGAAATGGCAGGATTTAGGATGAGTTCAGGGAATAAAGAAACAGATGATGAGAGGATCAAGGAGAAGACAAGTTTATTAAAACTCAGAATATGATAGCAGAGGTACAAAAATTACATTATTGAGCATAATGGGGAATTAAGACAATCCAGATGTTGCAGACTATGATGAACTATAGGAAGAAATGCATCCTAAGGATTGAGGCAACGTGAGGACAGCCAGTCACTGTAGCTGCAAACATGATTTTAATAACTCAGGAAAGGCACAAGAGAACAGGTTGTTTGCTTTTGTTTTTAGCTGTGGTGCCGTTAGATATTATGTGCAACACTTGTACTCTGATCAAAATATGAAATTTGCTGTATTTTGTTTTCCCACTGTGATTGATTTTTGCCTGTTCAGGTGAACGTTATTGCAGATTTGAACTCTGGGGATTGCAGCTTTATGGAAGCAGCAGCGTGAGGCTGATAAAGAAATATTAAAATAAATAAAATATAAAATAGAAATAAACATAAAAAGAGGAGCAATGGTTGTAATGCTCCTGGTCGTTATTTGAAAAGATCAAAAGAATTGTCAGGAATTTGGGTGCCTTCATGTAGTGGAAATCATAATGATATTGGATGGGATCTAAAATGGTGACAGCAGCTGTGGCAGAAAGAAATAGGGATAGTAAGTGTGAAATTTGAACTAGATACAGGAAAAAGGTTGGGAAAAAACACCCCAAATCCAGACTTGGGGGAGTCCTGTGAGTTTCCTTATTGCCTTGGCATCTTCCAGAATTAAATGACAAATATTGTGTTTATTAGCTGATTACCTATCAGGGTGGTCTGTTTATTTCTTAAATTGAGCTGTTGCCTAACACATCAAATTGGGATGTCCTAAAGCTTGTTTGTTGTGTATTTTGTAAAAAGATTAATTTTCTGCCAAAAAGTGTCCTTTTGCTGGATAAAAAGGAGAGCATCAACATCAAGGCTTTACATTCTGGAAGTCTTTGTCAGTTCATTTGAGGACCTGTGGGAAGTGGATAAAAACAGTCTCAGAAATATGTAATTTGGAAGATTTAATTGGTGAAAGGTATTATTTAATCAGAATTTTAATTGGGCTCTTAGATAATTGGCTGGGCCAAGAACTGCAGTCAGATATTCCTCTGGGTACACCTGGCTCTTGTGTCTGCCTGCACCAAGCAAAGTGAAGAGTTTTATATCCCAAGTTCATAACTTTTCATAGCAGTGGAGTGTTAAAATTCCAATTGCCAGACGAGTACAGCTAAGCCTTGCCTGGTTTTGCTGTCCCTGGGTCATGGGTAGAGCCCTCATCCCTGGGGACAGTGGAATGCTGCACACATGTGGCACCTTCTCTCTGCCACTCAGCACTCAGGTTTCGTGGACAAAAGAAATACATAATCAGGTAAAAGCTTGGAATGAATGTGAATGTGTGGCAGAGACAGCCAGGGAAGTGGTGTGAAACCAGGAGTGGAGGAGATTGAAGGTACATCCTCTTAGGTAAAGATAAACCTTGGATAGACGAGCTCTAGAGATGTGATCTTTCCCTGCAAGGAGATAAAATCAGACCTGAAATGTCCAAATCATCAAAATAATTTGAAGAACATTGATAAGTGATTTTCCTCTCTCCTAAACAGTAGAGGGCGATCTTGTATTAAAAATTTAGGTTTTACCCAAATCGAAGCCTTTCCTTTACGAATTCTTGTCAAAAGAACGAAGGTTTTTATCTCTAGAAACATACGGGATCGGATGTCTGTATTATTCTGTGTAAATGTTATCTCTGTTAGAGATACTCGCATTGACTCTCAGGTTTTGCACCACACAGCGACATTGCTCTATAGTAAGTGAGAATTATTGAAGTAAACCAGTATGATACTAATGGAGCAAATAATAGAACTCACTGTAAAAGTCTGCTGTGCTGAGTAATATTCAAGAAGTCTTTTGAAATTATTTTTTTTTTCTATTTAAGAAAAAAATTACCTAGTTTAGTATGTTACATGAAGGCCGAGGAAACAACATACTAAATGTATTTTGTGTTTATTTCAGTCTGGGAAGTGTCTGCCTTTCATCCGTGCACGTGGAGATGCCTGAGTGCAAATCGAGGTGTTCCAGTGCTCAGGTGGGGAGCCCTATTCACACAGACTGTTCTTATCAAAGCTCAAAGATTATTGCTTCACTTACTCAAACACAAAAGATATGAAGCACGTGACTGGGTAGAGATTTGATATTATATTCTTTGGTGATAGAGTTTTTAAACTGTTTTTTAATACTTTTATTTTGTGTAACAGTTTTTGTCCCTGACATGTCACCTGGAGTGCTAAAGCATTTGGTCCCTGTGAAGGAGAATCACTGAACTATTGCAGATGGCCTGGCTTGATAAACTTCTTTGTCAATTAATCTGTTGCAAATGCCCTCAGTCTTCTGAATGGGTTTTCCTCTCGCAGCCCTGTGATAGTTCCCTATGGCTCCAGGATGGAACAATCCTGGGCAGTAAAGAGATTGAGATAATGACAGTCCATGGTGACAGCAGGGCTGGCAGAGCCAGCCTGGGGGAAGAAAGACACATACTTGCCAATAGAAATACCTCCATCCTTTGGGAATTGTAGCTTGGGAATCAAAGCTGACCTCATAGACAAGAATGATGGAGAACAAGCTTTTGATTTATGACTGGATGAAGCTCAAAGTCTGCCCTTCTGATCCTTCTTTACAACACACCTTTTGTATTTTATATGAGCTCTTTCACTTTATTCTCAGAATGTTATCTCCTGGGGTATCGTTTTTAAGTCTTTCAGTGTTGTAATAGTTCACTCATCTCCTTCTTAGTAGTTAGTTTTTGTTTTTTTAATGAAGCTAAAATCCCCTTTTAGTATCACAAGTAAACTGTCGTTTAAATTTAACATTACTGATCAGCTGCTTTGCTTTTTTTATTTTTTTTTCCCCTGAGTTTCATGAAAGCTAAACCCATATTTACCTTCTAGACCAGAGCTAGGGAATTCCATTTGCATTCACTGGTGCCTTGGTTGCCTCAAGTACTTGCACTTGAATATGAAAAAAAAATTGCATTTTTGGTACTGGAATTTATGGGTCAGATCCTTGGTAAATGTTGAGCTCTGCTAGTTTAATGAAGCTGTGCTGCTTTTCACCACCAATCTCTAATTAAGGCATCCACTATACTGACTGCAACACTATGTCCCTCTCCTGGGAATTCTGCACTCTGCTACCTGCTCACTTTGCCTTAAAAGCTTTAAGCAAAACTGTGAATTCTCTGAAAGTTTTAAAAATATGAATCCGGGTCTAAATCTTCTGAGCTTGTTCTTGTGCAAATCATCCATTGTTCCTATTTTCCAAATCTTTGCTGTGCCCTCTGTGACAAGCCATAGAAATGGCATAAAAAGCATTTGTGTGCTTTTTGTAGAAGAGAAGGACTGTGACAGCACAAGATCAAGTGCAGCTCTCTGCAAAGGAACGTTCTGTGCATCAGCTGTGTGGTATCTGCATTTGGGGTGTTTGTATTTCCATATATCTGTCAGCCTGTCTGTCATCTGCCTCCCTGTCCCCCTGACTTATGTGGCTGTTGATAAATACCCTCCGTTGGTGATTAAAAGGAAGTGACCTCATCAGTTTGTCT